TCCCTAGGCATGACTTTAAAACATTATTGCAGCTCTGAGAGATCCCCCTTGTCTTCAGGTAAATTTCCTTGGTGTCATTGCCTGGGTTTAGGTTTGGCCCAGGGTACCCACATTAGCATTTAGTGCACAGCCTGTCTAATGGATCCCACAGCCATAAGGGTTCTTACACACTGCAATACAGGCTCACAGGGAACTGAGACCCGAACTTAATGCTGAGCAAACATCTGACTAATGGCAGCCCCTTCCCTAAGGACTTTATATTAAATAGATTCCTCTTCAGATTATTAAAACTTCTGGTTTGCTGCTCTAGGTGAAGATAGAGCTGAGTAAATCATGCACGTTTTGGATCTGTAGTAAAAATGAAAAATTGGCGAGGTGGAATAAGCAGCCACAGTTGAGTGGCCAAAAAGAAATACTCTGTACTCTGAAAAAGTACTTAGTTTAGTTTTAGTGCTTTAATTTTTAAAACTGTCCTGTCTTTTAAAAACCTATCTCAATATTTAATTTTAAAATGGCATTTTAAAAATTAATGGTGCTGACAGTTTGTTTCCTTTTTGGGGCAAGACGAAAGGGAAGAGAGTGACAGAAACAACTCATTACAAGTCTTTTTTGTCCTTTCATTTTTGCTCTTCAAGAAATTTCATATTCAGAAAAATTAATAGATCTCCACTGGAATAATAACATAAAATGAGGCCTGTCTGTCTAATGCCACCCCACTGTTTTACTACCATGGAAAAGAAATAATGAATTTCATTCATAAATGTAAAAAGTGACTGTAAGTACTTGGTGTAAGCCACCACTGTTGCATCAGGCAACACAGGCAAACTGAGCTATTAACTGAGATAAAGCTGCACTAAAGGAAGGGGTCATTAGAAGATCAGCTGAAACGCCTTCATTATTAATAAAAGCTATTTCTATGTGTAAAGAGACTCCAAACATCTTTTAAAGGATGAAGTCTATATCACTCGGAGAAGAAAGCTCAGAAGTGAAAAGGTAACTCTGAACCCTTTTTTTCTTAGCACAAAACCCTCTTGATTTCTTGTGCAATAGGATGTTTTGCCTGACTGATATATCAGAGTGGGAGGGGGGTGGGCAGTGAGGGAGCTGCCATCACACAGCAGTTCCAGCTGGGCTTGCAGGAGAAACAGGTCCAGGATGGCAGAGTGCAGCTCCACAGGCTGGAGTGTGAAGGGCAGTGGGAGGATGCTGCTGCCCTGAGCAGAGGATTACAGGATCCCTTTATACTCTAGGGGAGCATAAAGGGCTGGTGGGGGAAGAAAAAAGAGCTGGTGCAGCTCAGGGCCTCATCTCAAAGCCCATGGTGTCAGTGGGAGTAGCAGAAGAAGGGCAGAGCTGCCTGACAGCCCTTTCCTTGTGCAGTGCCCTTTCCTGCAGCTCCACAGCTCCTGCGACTTTGGTTTGTTATAAAATGGAAAAGAATTATTAGCTAACTACGTGGAAAACTAATTAACCTATTGTAGCACAAATCCTGGCTTTGCTGTTAATCTCATTCAAGGATTCCTTCTGTCCTGTTTGGCCTGGAGATTAACACCAGGAGCAGCATGAGCTGGAAGTGTTCAGCACCTTTGAGAAAGAGACCACATGCAGGTAGCCTGCATTAAGGGATGCTGGAAAGTAATCCCCTGGCACATTAGCTCATGGCTGTGTGTGTTGGCAGAGATCAAGTCAGCAGTTCATGCTGAGCATCTGAATTCACAACAAAACCCAAATTCTGTAAAATAATGCTGGCTTTTTAAAATCCATATTTATTTCCTGCTTTCAGGCGCTTACGTAGGTATTGATCTGATCAATGTGAGTACCCTTTCGGACAAACAGGCTTCTTAAAATGCCTTAAAAGCTTCATTATTAGGATAATGGAACCAAAGTTAAAAACAAATCAAACAATGCACGTGTAAAAGGTTTCCCCCAGACAGCTTGAAAATAAATTGAAAACAAATTCAATTAAAATAACAATCAACCTTTTTGTTCCTTCAGTGGTATGATTTCTCTGAGGCAGGTATACAATGATAAGAGATTTCTTTGAAATGCTGAAGATAGCAAACCCATAGGCAAGCTATGACAGATCAAAGCAGTATTTGTGCTAAAGAACAGCCTGCTACTATTAAGTTTCAGGGCTGAAATGTTTCTTTTTTTTTTTTCTTCTAATTTTTTTCCTTTTCAGTCCCAGATGCTTTTGCATCTGTTACTGTTCTTTCCTCATGGCTTTTACTTCACTAAACCAGGCCCTAGATCTTGACCCAAAGGAAATGTCTTGTCAGAATTTCTTTTTACATGTAGCATTGTACATTCTGTGTTCTATATGACCGGAAGTTTCCTTTTTCTCTGCTTACTTTGTTACCCTTGACCTGGGATTTCTTTGTGCCATTAATCTTTTACACCCCAGCTGTAATGGAAGTGGGGCTGTGCTTGGAGCAGTGTTGGGAAGTGATGTGGCCAGAGGCTGGGCTGCGCAGCAGGGACTGGTCCTGCCTGGCCCAGGAATGGTGTGCCAGCAGTGCCAGCAGCACTGGGGCACTGAAAACAGGCTGCCAGCTCCTGTCATGGTACCCTTGAGGAGGTTTTGCTGTTGCACATAGAATTTCAAGTGGGCTGAGGATTTTGCTTCTCTGTTATTTGGCATCGTGCTTGTGACCCCACATCTGCAGTATTGTGTGCAAAGGTGAAAGTAATGAAGGCAGCTACTGATGAGCTGGGTTTTTTTTGTAAATAATTGTGCTGTATTTGCTCAGAGCAGTAAGGACATCCAGTTATTTACTGTTTTGTATGTGCCACAAAGCACCTTGGCCTTGCAGCCATTCTGGAAAAAACACATTTTCTGTTTTAACCAAGCACTGGCGCTGCAAGAACCATCCTTGTATTATCCATTGATGAGGTGCCCCTTGGGGTTGCCCATGTAGTGTGTTCCTGTAAAATAGGAGCCTCTCAGCCAGGCTGGTGATGCTTTGAGTAAATTACAGTGCTATCTACAGAGAGCACATGATGCTGTTTGCAGGAGAAACTTGCTGGTTTTGTTCACGCTTTTTGTTGCAAATTTGCTTGATGGCTACTCTTCTCTGCAAAGTACCTTTTAGTCTTGAAGAAGCTGATGGGCTCTCTGTTTTGAAGATCCACTAAAATGAGGTATGAAATACTCCCCTATTATCTAGTGTGTGTTGGGACATCATGTTCCCAGGGCTGTAACCAGAATGGGTTTGGATTGGTACTCTGCATGAGGTGAGTGTTCAGTTCCCTGTGTTGTCAGTGCACTGATTGGCAAGTAAGGGCCTATTACACTCTTTTAGAATGAGCAGAGGATTAGAGGGTTGAGGGCCATATCTTCATCTCCTTGTTGCTGCAGAAATATAGCCTGCTCCAAGAGCACCATGTTAGACACTGCAGGAAAGTGCTAATTGGGACAGGCTTGGATATTAGGGCAGAGCTCTGTGGTTTCATGAAAGCCAGACAAGGAGTTGGTTTTGCAACACTGATTTCAGCAAGCATTTTTAATTCTTCAGGAAAGCTGTTTCACTTGCTAGTTCTGTGCAGTGGTCAGGTTTAGAGCTACCTCTTATTTGGCTTGAAGGATGGGCTCACAGAAGTGTGGTTGTGGTCAAAGGAAGAGCCTGTCTTGTTCTGAATGCAAAGTATACTCCTTGTTATTCCAGGCACAGTCACTTCCACAATCACAGATTGTCTTTGGAGTCTTCACAATTGATTTTTATGCCCACTAATTACTGCCATGTCTGTTCCTTGGAAACCATGGGCAGTGAAGGTGCAGTTCATGGGCATTGAACTAAGTACAGTTTACACTGAGATGAGTTAATATCTGGAAGAATATTTGATTTTTAAATAGCTGAAGAGGTCTTGCAAGGTTGCTTGCTACTTTAAAAAATACTATGGTTGCAGTTACTGTTCTGCAACTTTGCTGTTTCTTTCCTCTTCACTACATGATCCAATCAAACTGCAAATCAGCTGGCACCAATTGCATATTACTCCAGCTCTGTGTTTTACTTGTTTTATTGAGGACTCCCAATAAAATGGGATTTTAAGATCATTTTGGATGATGTTTCCTTTCTGTTGACTCTTGTCAATAGGCCTGCCAGAATAAAAATATGAATTTGGGCTGGTGATGGGTTTATAACTGTGTTTGGATATCTCAAAGAAGAGCCAGAATATGGCACTAGTCAGGGTGAAAAAATCACTGTACTGCATTCTTCTGCAAAAGCAGCCAAATCTGAAGGATTTTCTAGACTACCAGAATAAGTTCAGGTAACAGGAAGATCTTGGTAATTAAACTGGTTGTACTGGGTGAGAATCCAATGGGAATATTGTATGGGTAAGATACATGGTGGGGATATCTGATGGTGATATCTGTTCTATGGCTGCAAGGCAAAGGGAAGCAAAACAGGTATTGGGTTTTTTTTGCTTTCAAACAAGTTTAATTTTTCCTAAGACTCTGTTTCTATACCTTCTGGAACATTATGCTCCTTTCAGTGATTGTCAAGCCTTTCTTTTTGAACATGCAGAACACAGATTTATATGAAATTGATGGGAGCACTTGTGATTAGGAGATAAACCCAGGCAAGCCAGCTCTTAACAGAGTCTTCTCTTTGGTTAACGCAAATCTTTGGACAAGTTTGAAATCTGAATCTCAATCTAAATTTCACAAATAACCTTTACTTTTCAAGTGGCTGAGCCAATGTTCCGGGTCCTGCAAGCACTGGCTCTGAATATCAAAGCTTGACCCCATCTACAATGATGGAAGAGAATCAGTTTATCCTTCTCTAGAGTGTAGCCATTCCTGGGTGAAATGGCAGGAGGCTCTTTTTAACAGCATAAAGCACAATTTTATGTGGAGAGCGAATGATTTCACAGCCTACTCTGAAAGTAATTAACAGAATCAGGGTGTAAACACTGGCTTCTGTGCTCTCTGAAGTAAACAAAATAAGAATTTATGCTATTGACCTTGTTAAGTAACTAACATTTTTCCTTCCCTGCAGTAGCTTTTGCTTTCTCCCACAGTTCAACCCCCCCGAGCCTGAGGCCGCTTGCTACACCAAAATGTTCAATCCCACATTTGAATAAAGTGAATAAATCCAGCCATACTGCTAAACATATGGTAAGTAATAGCATCATTAACAATAGCATAGTGCACATTTGACAACTGAAGGGATTTGGCTGCTTTGTGCCAGAGGAGTGACAGCAGAGGAGCAGTCCTGGCTGCTCCTGCCATCCTGTCCTGTCCCTCCCTCTGCCCCTGCCTTGACCTGCTTGAAAATTTGAAAAGCTGCCCATCTTCTTACCAGTGACTTGGGCTCTTATCTTACACTGTCAGCTGTGAGGCTCCATTTCACCTTAAATGTTGCTGTTTATTCTGCACAGGTGGAGATGAGAGTGTGGAGAGGAACAAATAAATGCCCTAAGCATCTGGTCAGGGCGATTGCTCCAGGGGATGCGTTGGCCCTGTCTGTCCATCCATGGCTGAGCACTTCTTGTAGCATTCAGACAGACTGTGACACTCCAGGGAAACCAGAAAGTCCAGCTGCTGCAGCATGGTCAGGAGCAGAGAGAACTGGCACGTGGTGTGTTCTCAGCTCTGAACTAAGGGACTGGCAGCCTGGGCCGTGTGGGGGGATGGTTGCAGTGGTGTGTGTTAATTTTGAACCTGTTCAGGAAAAGGCACATCACTTCCTTCACGCCCTCCCTGGCCTCTCCTGGAGGCACAGGGGCTGTTGTGGCAGTACAGCCCCAGAGGATGTGCACAAGATCCTGCCTCTCCTCTGCTCGCAGTGCTCCTGGTGGCTCCCTGCTGCAGGATGAGCCTTGCTCATGGGTTTGGGGAGTGCTCTGGCCCCCAGAACCTCAGGTATCAGTGTGGGTTGGCAGCCACTCTTTGCTGGCTTGTTCCTGTTCTTGCAGCAGTCACTGGTGGCCTCATAACCCCTGGCCCCTGCCTTCCCTGTTGCCCTCTCCTGCCCTGCTCCATCTTTGCTTCTCCTTCAAGATGTTCATGCTGTCTCAGTTGGGAGCCACTCTTTGCTGGCTTGTTCCTGTTCTTGCAGCAGTCACTGGTGGCCTCATAACCCCTGGCCCCTGCCTTCCCTGTTACCCTCTCCTGCCCTGATCTTTGCTTCTCCTCCAAGATGTTCTTGCTGTCTCTCATTTCCCCTTCTCTCCTTATCAGCTTTGAAGTCCATAAATGCATCAATCCCAATCCCTGTCCATCTCAGAGCTGTAGACCCAGGGATTTACCTCAGTTCTTGCAGGAAGACCAGGCTGGTGCCTTCTGTCCCTCCAAGGGCAGCTGACATTGGCCACTGTCACTGCCCATCACCCTGGGGCCTCAGCAGCAGGATGCCTTGTGCATTTGTTTCAGAAATGGTTTTATTTTGTACCTCCATGTTGTTGCTAATCTGGTGCCTCATGAAAACACCCACAGCCATATAAAACTTCTCCCTTTTTGATAGCCAGCTTTGCTAATTCTTTTAGACTCTTACCCCTGAAAACAGCAGATGGCTTCTGACCAAAAAGTCACTCCATCAATATAATGCTTAATGCTAGGGGATAAGACTGCTGCTTTACTATACATCCTGGATGCATAAACCCAGTTCACTTCATCATCTCTGAGCTCCCTTCACTTGCCACCTGTTATCCTGCTCCTGTGGATCAGTGTGCTCCCAGGGAATCTCTGTTTCCAGTGCTGTGGTGGGCAGTGCTCACTGCTCACCTGCAGCCTGAGCTGGCTCAAGGTGTGCAGCAGAGGCTTCTGCAAATGCTTCCTGCTGCAAGGGTTCTCCCCAAAACTTTGTCTGGCAATATTCATATCCCAAACTTCTGAGTTTAAAACCATCCCTGAGTGTTACAGATTGGTCACCAGGTCACCCAGTCCTTCTGTTTTGGTACTGCTCTCAAACTCTGCTGGCTGCTGAGGTAATAAAAAACCTCCAGAAATTACATTCTTTTGCTTCTTTATTTTCAGCAGAACATTTTGTGTAAAAATCAACATCATGTTGCAGCATTTGCAATCCAGATGTTGGTGCTTTTTGTTAATGAAAAAAGACCCTGAAGTTAATTGACTGTAAGGTGATGATATGTTAAAATGTAAAAAACAAAGCCAAGAAGACCGTTCCTGTATTCTGCACTGGCTGAGCTCTTAGAAATGCAGGAAGAGAATAAAGCACAGTAAAAAGAGAAGTTAAATGCAAATGTCTGTTTTTTTTTTACTTGAATCATTGAATATGCTCTGAATAACAATCAAGACCAGGACATTTTTTAAAAAATAAGAAGTTTTAAACAGATTGTTTCAATGCAAAGCCATGCTATGTTGCAGGGGAAAGACACCATTGTATTCATCTAACTCACACTTATTTCTGAAGGAGTAAGAGTGCGTAGGGGGCAGAGCAGGATTCTACCCACCTGCATGTGGAAGACGAGCACTGGAAGGTGTGTTTGGATTGCCTCAGGTCTGTTTTGTCTGTGCAGTTTACTCTGTGTATAAATGACAAACCAGAACAGAGAGCAGGTAGTGAAAGAGACTCCCTAGTAATAGTTGAGAACTATTGATGCTGTGGGCTGAAAATAAAACCAAGATTTATGTGCCACCAAGAAACAACACTTCACCAAAGGCAGGTTGTGATTCTCACGAGCACCTGGAATTCTGAGGGAGCCTGGAACGCACCTCGGGATCATCACCAAAGGTGTGTATGCTTACACGGGAGGGGTGTAGGAGTAGCTGGGAAGGACGATGAGTGCTGGGAGGGTTTGTGTGCTGTGCAGCCACTTGTGCCTGTGCATCCAGCGCTGCCCGAGGCGCCGCGCCCGCTGCGCTTGGCTTTGGCCGCGCCGGGGAATTGAGTGCCCTGATGCCGGTGTTGTATCCCTCGGGTTTGGCACCTTCAGCCAAGTGCTCCTCCAGCCCTCAGCCTGCCCTTGTCCTGGAGCGGGAGCCCAGCAGATGGAGCAGTGCTCCTGCTCTGGGGGATGCGCCTCACTTTGGGCAGCGCCGCATCCCGAGCAGCGCTGTGGGAGTCAGCGGGGCTGAGCTGATCGGCTCCTGCGCATCTGGAAAGCACAGAGTGACAGCGCCAGTGTAAAAAAAAATACATGTTAAATTCCTGTTTTTGGTGAGGGGAGTGCTCTGCGATATATATATCTGATTAACATAATAGTTTGTATAGAAATACATTATAATTTCCAAACTTTATATACTCTACTGTATATTTACCTGAGCTCTAATTTACAGTTGAAACACAGACAAGGGCATAACAGAATAATCCTTTTGATCACAGTGGTATTTTATGGTAACAATATACTTTATTATTTTTAATAAAACACTAGTAGATGCTGTTAGCAGTATTCCCACAGCAGCAGCCATGAGTTCTGGCACAAACAAGAACAGAGAACCCTTCTCCGTCTCTTTTTTTCTTAATAAATAATTGAAGGAGAAAACGAGAAAAATATGGTGTAGGATCCAAACAATAAACAAAAACCAGGGTCAGAAAGCAGGGCTCATGCTTTCTTCTCCTTTAAACCTAACTACCCATATTTTTTTCCTTACTGTGACAGAGAAATGTACTCAGCTCTTTTTGTAGTGAATTGTGTCTTCAAAAAATATTTTTATATATGGCAGTGCTGAGCAGCATAACAGGTCTAATGGCATATTTTCATCTGTATTACTGAGACAGCTCTCCTGCCACGCAAAGCACAGCCCTGCTCCAATTATGTACTCGTGGCTGTGCCTGCCCTGAACTACCTGCTGCTCATCAGAATGGCTGTTGCACCCAGGTAAGTTTGGAATAAAAGAGGTCAGCATTTGGCCCCTGCAAACTAATGGGAATCTAGCCCTTTGTAGATTTTCTCATCTCTCTCTTAACGTCACTGATGGGGCAATAACACCATCTTCCAGCTGCCTCTGGACATTGTGCCTTGCTGTGCCTCTGCACCTCCTTTCTTCCCAGGCTTCCCTGCTCCAGTGCATGTCCTTTGGACATTTCCTAATTTTCCCCTCTGAGACTGCACTGTTGAGATCTCCCTCTACAGAGCCTTACTGTCAGTTTGTCTCTGGGTACAAGATACCCAGGCTTCAGTGTTAATTCTGCTGCATTTCAAAAGCATTCGAAGTTTTTAGTTGCAAAGCAGACCTAACAGAAATGTAAATAGTTTCCTCCGAATATAGGTATTTTACATTAGCAAGGCACATCTGTTTGGCAGGCTTCCCTCCATTTCAGGAGGGCTAAATTTGGCTTCTTTTCAACCACCCTACCTGGTTACTCAAGGTAATCAGTAGAACTGAGCTTTGGATTCTTGTGTTAACCAGCCTGTATGGATTTCATTTGCCTGGTATCTGTATTTCTAGTTTGTCCCTGTTCCAGGAAAAAAAAAACCAAAAACAACAAACCAACAAACCAGTGGCATAATTTCAACTCCCTTTAAAAACTAATGGGAACTGCTACAAAATCTTGGCTAACAAATAGATTTAAACTTCAGCTTGACCTCCTTAGCCATGAAAAACAAAAGCTGAGAAGGGATTAGTTTTCTGTGAGCACATCAAGGGGCAAAAGCCCAAGCGGGTGGGGAAGAGCAGTTTCAGCTGAGGATAATACTAGCAGGAGAACAAAGAGGGCTAGATTTGTCCTGAATTAATTTATGATGCCAGAAGCTCCTTCATGTCTGGTCAGGGCAATTCTGGGACAATGGCACAGTAGGAACATCAGGCAAAACCCAAAGCTGGCTTTTTAAAGGAGGATCCTCAGGGTGTGAAAGGGATTATGGGGGTGAGTCCCGCAGAAGCCCAGACTCACTGCCCAAAGAGTCCTTCACAGTCCACTCGTGTTTATTCCTGTGTTAAAACCATTTAATGCTCCATTTGGAATTACTCTGAGGTATAGAAAAAAGCATTTCTTGTGGCTGCATAGCTTGGGAAGAGCTACTGCTGAGCTGGGAGGAGTTTCCAGCAGCTCCCAGGCTCTCTGCCTGCTGCTGTTTCAAGGCTCTTGGCAGATAGGTTGAGCTCATGTTTCTGCTGCATCTGGTTCAACCCACTGCCTGCTCTGAACCCTTTCTTGGCTTTCCATTCACTGCTTCTGACTTTGAAAGCCCCTCTGTACTCTGTCCTTATCTCCCTCTCTGGAAATCTTACCCTGTGTCTTTCTGCTACTCCAGCCCCTCAAACTCATGCACGTCCCCAGCTGCCTGTGATCTTCCCAGGAGCCAAGATCTGTATCTTTCATCTCCAGGGGTCTCATTTGGACCCACAGCTCTATTCTTAGCAGCTGCTCCTCCTCTGAGTCTCCCCCAGTGCAAGCAAATGCTGCATACCTGGAATGTCTCGATTTCCTTCTTCCCCCTGTGTTCTGGGCCTGTCTCTGCATCTTCTGTCCCTGTGCTAGAATATCTGACACCTGCTTTCAGTAGGGTTTTGTGGACATCAGAGCCAAATATCTGAATGTGCCTGGTGGGACATTTTGACATGGTGTATACTTGGGTCAGTGTTGATGGCACTTTGCTGAATGCAGCCCTAGCACCCAGTTTAGTTATTGAGTGCTCTGTTTGAAGCTGGGCACAGGAGGGAAACTTAAATGAGTGGAATTGTGGGTGTGATGGATGTATTTTCTGTGAGAGAAGGTCCAATTAGAGTATCAGATGTTTCTCTGTCTTTGATATTTTATGTTGCCAGCAGCTGGAAGCCACGAGAGGAGGTGAGGCTTGGTTCAGAGCAGTTCTCCGTAGGGATTCTGTGATGCTTCTCCCTGGTTTCCCATGACTGCCAGTGTGGCTGTTGTGCCTGAATCTGCCTGTGTCTCCGCAGGGATTCTGTGATGCTTCTCCCTGGTTTCCCACGACTGCCAGTTGTGCCTGAATC